AGTCAGTGAAGCTGAGGCTCGACGTGAACAGGCTGCTAAAATGAAGGCGCATATCGCGGAAGTGGCGAAGGGCGCCACGGGAGTTGAGAATGCCGAACACCTTCGATCCATTGCCGATGGGCTAGCCAGGGTCATGGACCCGAACATAAACGATGACAATGTGTTCCAGGGTGCCATGTATCCTCCGGGTGACTATGCGCTTGACGCTGTCACGAACCGGCTGGCCCAGGGCCGACGCCGAGTTGAGTCGAACAGCAATCTCATCAGGGAGATGGCCAGCGACCGATTTACGCCTGTGCTCATCAACCGAGATACTGGTGAGACTGTGTCCGCCATTGATGTACGGTGGACCCCGGAGTATGGAAACAGGGAGCTCGAGGCCAAGGTTGGTGCGATTATCTCCAACCTGGATGCAGTTGTCGCAAGCATGTCGACCCTTCCTGTGTTCCATCCGCACATTCCCTCAACATATGGTATGGCCCGATCGCTTCTCAACACATACCAGTCATTGCAGATTGCCATCCGACACCGCGGCATGGGTGCGATGTCCTTTGAACAGATGGTGTTCAAGCCGGAGGACCTTGAGGTTCCGACTCCCGATGACTGGCCGGACCTCATTGCGCCTACCCCTGGAAAAGTCATTCAATCCATGCGGGTGGCCCTGGTGAACAACACGGCGGCAAGGTTGACGAGAGAGGACCTCAAGCTGCCACCGGGCTTCGCCATGCAACGACGAGTGACTGAGTTCCGTAAGCCGGAGGAAGATCCAGTGCAGAGCCTGATGGGGCTCACCGATGACTTGAGCTACGGCACTACTGGTCGATCTGGGGATGACAGATTGTCCCAGTTCCAGCGTAGTATGGCAGTACAGCTGCGGAACACTGCTGGATTCCTTGCGAGTGAGTTCCAGAAGCATGCCCGATCTATTGCCGCTTCTTCCTCGCGTCGCAGTGATGCTTCAGGTGCCCTGAGTAGCCAGGGTGATGGCGCGGCGGACAACGATCTTCCGTCCACTGAACAGGTTAGTGTTGCATCTGAGCGCGCGATTGCGCCGCCTCCGCCAAACGTGGCTCCTCCTCCTCCGCCTACTGCGGCAGCACCTCCGAGGGCGTCCGAAGAGAGTGCAAAGGAGGATGACGATGATACCAAAATGGATGATGACACGGCCGGTCAGAAACCCGAGCAGAAACCCGAGGAGGACGCAGATATGGGTAGCGGGAAGGAGCTGCAAGACGAGGTCCCCGGCAAGGCCCCGCCGCCAGCTGCCCGAACCGCTGAGAGCCCTCCGGAACACGGCCTGCGTTCCAGTCCTCCGAATGACATGGTTGCTCAGGGAGCCGCGCTCTCCGGTGCTCGAGGGCCGGATATCGACATTGACCCGGCCAGCACCACAGCCGATCAAGCGGCAAATGATCCGAGAAACTTCCGGATCGAGGGCCCTGGTATCAAGGCGACAACGATTCATCGCCCTGACCAGATGCCCGAGAGGGGTGTCGACTCTATTGCACCGATTGTGCAGTATGAAATGACGTCCGTCCCGATTGCGCTGACTGACTTCGTCGTCCCGGGACTCGACATGGGCATCGATGATTCCGTCCATGGTCGGCTGGTCTCCGCGACCTGTCTCCCACCGACTGACGAACAGCGCAAATATTCGAGGCGCCGATTCGCTATGCTGTTTTTTCAGACGGTGTACTTGAACGTCGCACTTCACAAGAAACCGGTGAAAGGAGATCACGATTCTTTCCTCCGACCGGAGTCTTACGAAGATTGCCGCGAGATTCATGACGCTGTCCGAGCATACAATGCTAAGGAGGCAAAGTTCCGATCCGTCGGCGGAACATCCGTGTCATGCAGCCGATTGTTGATCGATGACGCACAAAACATCCCTGCTGCCAGGATTCCGGACGCAGGAATGATCAACTTGGTGCGGAAACTGCTGTTCCGAGTGCTGACGCAAACGAAGGAGTATCCTTCCGCTACTGCCGAGAGAACGCAGAATCGCCCCCAGGATCAAGAAAGGGGCATTCCCTTGTATTCACGCTTCGACCAGAGTGGCATTATCGCTTTCGATGTCATTCCGATGTACATGGAGCGTGAGAGGGAATACATGAAGGCCAACGCCGGAGAGAACGATGGCCGAATCCTTCTCCAGACAAATATTCTGGATGAGCGAGGCGAACCGACCGAGATCACTACCCGATGCATTATGGAGATCGCTCGGACGGACAACAACCGAATGTTTGAGTTCTTCTACTCGACGATCGACAACGATGGAAGTCCTCAATTTGTCGGCATTCGAGCCACCTACGGTTTCGGCCCTGATAACTTCAACCGATTCCGACTGCTGACCAAGTGCCAGCACGGGCCATTTATCCAGCTCGCTCAGGATCATTACGTCGCTGGCGAGAGGAAAAGAAATGTGGCCCGATACCATCCTCAGTATGGATGGGGATGCGCAACGATTCGCGAATTCTTCGGGTACATGAGCGATTGCAAGCTCAATCCTCCGAAAGGACGGCTGTTCCTCACTCTGCTCCCGTATGCTCCCGGATCTGGGAACAACAATGAGTGGGAAGAGGTGTACATGAACGTCCGAATGAACCCGGGGCGTGAGACGCTTTCGAACACCGCGTCATCACAATCCATGCTCCCTGAAGGGATGGGATCCAACCGCATGATCGTGTTTGCGATTGATTTGCACATGATTGCGGCGGGAATCAATCCGATTGTATTCCACCCGAGGGGATATTATGCGATCAAAGACAGTATCCCTCTCGCCTGTATGCCCATTGCATACATGATCATGGACACGGGATCCCTCGTGTTCAACACGGCCTTCAAATATGTTGGAGGCCCAAAGTTCGGCACTGGCCCCAAGAGAGGAGACCACAAACGAGAAACGTGGCCGCTTGCTAGTTTCGACTGCCCCATGTGCGGAGCATCATTCCCGGTGGGTCTCCACATGTGTCACTCTTGCACCAAGCCGATTCATTATCCTGATGGGATGTTCTACGCCGATCCTGTAAACCCATTTCAGGTCGAGTACTATGGAAGTCATGCCGAATGGCTCAACGAGCTCATTGAGCGAAACGAGCTTAAAGAATTCCGACTTCACGAGTACCCTGCAATCAAGCAGCTGAGGAATTTCCCGGTGTCTAGGTCAATCGCTGAGGACCACAGGCAAACCGCGTTCTTCGGGGTGCCACCGATCAAATGCACTGCAGCTGATACATCGCCGAAAGAAGTGGAATTGTTCAAGAAGAGCGTGCGCGGAACGATTCAAGGCGCCATTCGATTGGACATCTCCATTGAGAGGCTTGTTGCCGGTATCACTGGCAAGGAAGCTCGGAGCGGTGTGGAAGACTTCCTCAACTCGCAGTCGATCGCCTGTGCAACCACGATAGTCAAGCACTTCGGCGCGGTCTTCGCCACATGCCGCGAGAAGCCGCTGTGCTACTATGCACGATGGTCGATCCACTGTCAGCGCGCATACCGAGTCTGCCTGTCGCGCGGCTATCTCTCCCCCTTTTACACAGGAGGGACAATCGATTATACCGTCGACTCAGACATGGTCGAGAAAATTCGGCTTGCGCATCTGCCATTGCAGAACGCCAATCTGGCGATGAGAAGGCAAATTCGACTTTCCACCGAGTTTGGAACGTTGGATGAGTTCCGTGCCACTATCACGGACACGCAAAAGTATCAGCGATACATGCGTGTCGATAGTGAAAGCCTTTCCGCGCTCCTTGCCAAGGTTACCCTTACGACGTGCTACGGCATTCCGATGAAAGGTGAACCTGGTTACATCTCTGACGATGAAGCTGAGGAGATCGAAGGAACTGCGGCGGCTACTGAAAAGCCCAAAGGGAAAGGAAAAGGGGAAGAAGAAGAACCCGATGTCCAAGCCATCAATTGGCGTGATTTGGACCCTTTGGGGCGGAAGTTCATCCCGCACCATACCGATTCCCGATTCACGATTTTTGCTGATGGGAATACGGCACTCCTTGATGCCCCCGAAACGCCTGATGAGAAGCGTAAGGAATTCAAGGAGTTCATTCGCGATCACTCTGTCAAGATTAAGGAATGTTTCGATGATGATCGCGCGACTGAGAAGACGTTCTTCAATCTTCTTGAGGGCGTAAAGGATCAGCTCCCCGATACTAAGAGAACTGACCCTGTTCTTATGAAAAAGAACGAAGATGTCTTCGAGGCTCTACCCGATGAACTAGAAGAGCCTCAAGATCTGTTCGACGTCGCAGCTCAGCGGACACGACGACGTGCTGATGCGCCTCAGCGCAGAGTGCAGGCCACTGAGCAACGGCACGCGTCGATCCCCGAAGCTCATGCCGTCCCCGTTCCTCCGGATGACGAGGACGAGGATGATACTGAGCTCGAACGGGCGATCCGACCCGGCCCGAAGTCACAACGCACTGGGCGAGAGCACCTCGGAGGTGTCGCTCCTGAGACAAACCCGCCTCCGCCTCGCGAGATGCCGCCTCCGTCTAATCCACCGAGTCGGAAGACGTCGAGGCAATCGGGCTACAATGTTCCCCACGCTGAAGGGGAGACACTGATGGTCTCAGGAAGGGCACCCTACTCCGATCAAATGGGTCTGCCCTTGGTACTGCGAATGAAGACCCGGGTTCCGGAGCCTGATTTGGACAACCCGACGATTGAAGATATTATTCGCATGTATCACGCACCGAACACGCTGCCTGTTGTCAGGAAGAAAGTCGCCAATGTCATCATTTCGATCAATGCAAATCCCGATGACCCTATCAATATGAAGGCGGCTGGCGTAGTTCCTCCCTCTGCCGAGGAAACAGGAGCGGGAAGAGCTGCCTCGCCTGGAGGCACTTCCGCTACTACGCAGGAACGGATTAACCCCAAGTTCCCTGCACCAAATACTCGCACCGCTTCGAACCCACCTTCGAAATCAGCCCGCGACGAGAAATGGGCTCCTTCGATTGTGCGGCCAACTCCTGGTCGGGTGATTACTAGTGCAGAGGCGCGAGGGCGTACACAACAGCGTGTTGCTGAGACTGCGGATCCCGCGCCTCCAGCTCCATCCGATTCCGCTTCGACTGAGCCACGATCTCGCACGATGGGCCCGGCCAAAGAAACAACGGCCAAGGGCAAATCCCGAACTGGCTCAAACGTGACAGGCCTCATCGATGAAGCTGATGACACGAGGCAACCGACGAAGGGCAAAGGAAGAGGGAAAACCGAGAAAGGAAAGCAGGAGAAAGGCCGAGGGAAGGGTGATAAGGGAAACAAAGGAAGGGGCGGTTCCGGACGAGGAAACAAGGACCGTACCCGTAGCCCCACGACTCGTAGGTAACGACCGTCGACCTGCGTGGCGATGCATTGTGTCACTGCAAGGTGAATCCGGTTGAGTCTTTCTGACCCATGCTCCACACGTCATTCGGGTCAGGCGGATTCTGATGGTGAAACCCGGCTATGATACAATTTCCGCTACTTCCTCAGCCTTCCTTGCCTGCGCCGCGCTGAGAAGACCCACCAAATGCAATCGTGGATGCCATGGTCGTGACCGTTCTGATCCCGTGAATCGAGACAGCCACAAGGGCATCGGCTGGGCTCCAAATAAGCGCGCCAATGATATCCGTCGTATTTTCTTCATCGTATACGATACCCTTGATATTCTTGGCGGACGTGTAGCCGAAGTTGCCGAGCAGAGCACCGTATGCTTTTCGGTAGTGCCTGCACCATGCCTCCCACTCTTTGGAGGGTCCTCCGGCTATTGTCTCAAGCTTTGTAGGCTTTGGCAAGCCTTGGCTGCCTTCCTCACCCAGCATGGGTGCACGCGACTGAAAGAAAGGAGCCAGCTCGATTCGGTAGCTAGAGGACTGGAGCTCGGATAGCAATGCATACCTTCCACCGACAGTGGCTTGCTCACTCGTCCCGTACGAGTCGGGCATCCAGTGATTGCGTCGAAGCACTACCGGGTTGACGGTGATTCGCTCCGTTGCCTCACCACCACTCGCCGCAGCATGATCATCGGCCGCGGTCGCCACAGGCTGCTCCGTCTCGGTAGATGCAGCCTGTTGGGTAGTGTTGCCCCCCTGAATCGTTAGGTCGGCAAACTCAACATTGTCGCGCGCGACACTGTCTCCCAGCAGCTTCAGAATGCGAGGATCGATCGGGCTCGCCTCCATCCACGGGTGCCAGGCCACGGCTTTCGTCCCATCGGCACTGAGGAATCGGTGTCCGTGGATGACGTAGTTCGGGGAAGTAGAAACCCCTTGCTCGCGGTCATCCAAGAGGCGGAAGGGCCTGAACGCGATTCCGCACAGCTCGAGAAATCGAGTTCCTACGCGGATCTGTTTCTGGGATCCCCCCAGCTTCTTTGTCGTGCGACTGTGGCTGTTCACCATAGTTCGGGAGACGCAGATCATCACCTGGAACCAGTAGCCTCCGCCGAGGTACGTGCCAGATGCATAGCTACCGGCAGCCTCGGGGGCGTGTCCAGTCACCCAGACGCAGGGTTCGTGACTTCCATGATCATCCGTCACGTAATCCTCTCCGAACAAGCCTCCGTGAGCAAGAATCGACCAGAGGTATCGGAGATTCGTTCCGTGGATCTCCTGAGGATCGTATATGTCCGAATTCATCGCTGGGACATACACCCACCCGTCAGTCGGGCGGATGGTGATCTGTGACGCACCGTCCTCGTAGGTCATTTGGGTGCTGGCTCCCCAATTGAGCGTATCATCGATGCTGACGCATCGCCCGGGGTAGGCCTCAGCCATCGTGTTCACGAACGAGGCCCACCCGCGCATCAGCGGGTTATTCTCATCGTCGTCTTCGTTGCGAAAGGCGGCCACTTCACCAATCTCGTTCGCATCCACGGCAGGTAGATCGTAGCCGTGTTCCTTGCGATCATTCTCGAGGTGACTCGCTTGCTCTTTCAGAGAATTCAGCGTGGGAAATCGGTTAAGGGCCTTGATTGCCAGAAACGCCCCAGGGATGAAAGAAAGTGTCGGCCTGAGCTGCAGAAATCCCTTGAAGAACCTCGCGGCTTCAGCCGGGTTGACCACATCCCTTGACAACTCAATGGGCGACAGCTTGGTGAGGTCGTTGTGCTTGATACTCGTATCGGTCCTCAACCATCGCTGTTCCGCAGACGAACTGCTGTATCCCATGAGATTTCGATTCCAACTCGCAAGAGGCGACGGAATGTAACAGGTTCCCATGAGACGGAGCGTATCGTTGCTCAGTGTCTCTCGAGACCCCTTAAAGGTTTGCGCTTGGAAGTGCATACAGTGGCGAGCCAATGCCATCGTAAGGTCCATTTTCTCGCGGACCCCTGCGGCATCACCGGACAACGTTGCCACTCGGGAAAATGCAAGAGCGCACATCACCCTGTATCGATCGATGAAGTCCATAAACTCTCGGGGATACTGCTTCCTCTGCTTATCCGCAAGCGGATGATTAGAGAGGAGGAAGGAGTCAACTAGCTGATGCAGCTTTAGGTCGAAACCAGAGTTGCATGCCAGCTGTTCGAGGCGCTGCCAGATTGAGGCCTGTGGGATCTCTTGGACCCCGATCTTCAGCATCATTGCTTTCATCCTCAATCCTATCGGAACGTCCTCGGAGCGCTTCCCACCCCCAGTAGACTCATCTCTCGGGGTCTGAATCGGGACTGGGGCTTCATCGGCGCCCATGTTGGCGTCATCCTGCTCCGTAGGGATCGGCGGAGCAGGAGTCCTTTCCGTAGTTGGCGCAATCGGGCCGCTCGGAAGGCCTTCCCCGCAAGGCGAGGGAGATTTCGGCTGAGGTGATCGGGCAGCCGGTGTCTTGGCGGCAGCCTTCTTCGGTGGCTGCTTGTTCTTTCCCCCCATCGTTCAGCAGCGGCGGCAGCGCGGCGAAGTTCGCAGCCCGTGGCAGCTACAACCTGTCCTAGCAGGGAGCGCAAGTGGGCTATGGACTGAGTCGTAGTAGAGGTGGTCTGTGATGGTCGGTTGATGAAGGTGATCCATGATCGTTGCCCTTAGAGCTCCTTACCAAGCTATAGTCAAGTGTGAGTGTGTAAGTATGTGCATGGCCTTGGCGTCTTTGTTTAAGCAATCGGCAACGCGGATTGCTGTGAGCCAAAAACCGCAGAATTGATGAAATGTTCTAGCACAGCCCACAATGCAAATCGAAGCTCTTTCGGGTCGACCCTTTTGGCCTTCTTGTGATTGCATGCAAATCGTGACATGAAGATGGGCCCAAACCGGGCGGGCATGAAAATCTCGCACATCCACGCATGCTGAGAACATCGACCAGAGGAGCACGAACACAGCTTAACTGGGCAAAGCTCGTGCGATTCAGACCATCGTCTTATGTACTCCCTACCCCACAATGGGTTTCCCTTCGGTAGCACAAGGAATACAGGGATTCCAGATGACCGGGCAGCGGAAGCGTACCCGAGTAATTTCTTGGCTTCCCATCCTTTTTCTTTGAGGTCGCCCCTCATTTCTTTCCAACCCCTGCTCTTGAAACCGGCTTCTCTTTTGTTAGCGGTGCCAGCAATCGGAACAGTAACAATACATACCGCAGGCGTAGGCGGAACCCTGATTGTGGAAATAGCAATCCCCTTTGCATTATCATCGAGACTGAGATTGATACTTCGAGCATGAGGGAATCGGATTATGCCTTCGCCTCCGATATGAATACATTTTATGGCTGCTCCGAATTGGTGAGCATCATCAATTGAAAGACCCCCCTGACGAGACATTTCGAGGATGAAATCGTTGAAGGGACTGTGACCAGTTTCAAGATGTACCCCCCTGGTTGGACAGACAGAGGGGAGAGCAGAGAGAGCGGGAGCGGCAGACAGCATACCAGAGGAAATAAGAGTACCTTTGCGAAAATGACCAATAGACATAAGGTTGCGACCCCACACTTTGGCATCAGTGCAGGCCTTGGTCAGGATATCACCAGCCTCAAACTGAGAGGGACACGTGACAAACACAAAGTCACCAGCGTGGTAGCGTTCATTCAACGCAGAAATATCGATACGCTGGGTACGAGACATATGACGCATATTAGGATTGTGACCAGTGATAATGACTCGGATGGCAGCTTCATTGTCTTCCATGACACGCAAACGGAAGCGACGGCCCAACATATACTCCCACATGGAGAGAGCGGGCAATCCCAGTTTATAGACGGCGTGATCAAGGGAGACAATTTCGGCTTCGGGAGTAGACTTTGACACAGAAGTCTGCTTCTTGGACAGCGCATTAAGAGGCATAAAGCTACGCAGGCCAAGAAGACACATGAAGACACCAGACGTGCTCTTGGAATCAGTGCGGTCGCCCGCAAGATCAGCATCGCAATAGAGCACAAGCTCTAACATCTCGGGCGCATCACCAATCCAACCATATAAATTGAGATCGAGGGTGGAATTGATATAACACACCAAACGATGGAGCTTCTTGTCACACAAACCATCCCACTTGGTGATGAGACTAGCAAGTGCCTGCACAGGACGGATGAGATCGTATCGCCCCATGCGAGCACCATACAAGATTTTCATCAGGACAGCGGCAGCGCAGTCACCGAGAACGCCCTTACCAGGAGGTATAGGCGTATCGGTGGGATGGCCCAACAAACGGTTCACCTCGGGACGATCCGGATTAGTATCGAACTCCGGTCGTGACTCATCGAGAAACGGCGTGTCAGCCGACCGCAAGGTGGCTTTGTATTTCGGACCACAGAGCTCGACATAGCGAGAGACACATTGCTCCATGAACGATCGCATATCGTACTTGATCATTCGGATTTCGCGAGGACCGACAGAGCCCTGAGCGACAGTAGTGTCACGATCGCCAAAAGTGAGCTCGGGAAATGCCTTCTTGGGTTCCTCGAAACGCGTCCAATAGGAGCGCGGATCAAAAGAATTAGGAACAACATGAGAGAAAATAACATGCTCACAACCCAAATAACGTTTGATGCTCGAGGGCGGCTCCAACTTAATCTTTGATGCCATGAGCTCCCACCCTGTGGCCAGATTGGCCTTTGGTCCACTGAGCTTAAAATCATCGACGTAGACCACAAGCATAAGGTTAAACTTGGGATGGCGAAACACGCTCTTCCAGTCAGGGCATTGCTCGAAGCCAACAGAGCGGAGAGCCTTTTCGCAATGCTGTTCCCAGAACCCACCGGCATCCGGGTGCCCGTAAAGGGCCAATACAAGACGCACAACCGGGTCATGATACTTCCCATGCCATTCGGGCAGCCATCGATCTTTGGGCAGTCGCACCCATGTGGCGGGGCCACCAAGCTTAGCTTGAGTATAGGCGGACTCGCCGTCAGCAACTTGTATTTCGTGACCGGGCAAGAGACCGAAAGCATCAGCGGCCTTCCCTGCCTCCATGGTCGCGGGGCATGAAGTTATCTCGGAGAAAATCGCCCAATTGTTGCCTTCATCTTTGACATGACAGCCCTCAAACACGACACGACCCTTAAATTTTCGATTTGGATCGGATTCTGGAAGCTCGGAGTTCTTTTCCACGCATATATCGAAGATACGACCAACATGGGCCGTCTCTCCCTTCGCCATGGCCTCGTTAGACACATCGCGCCATTCGCGCACGGAGGCGTAATCCCAGCAGCCCTGATTGATAAGTTTATTCCACTCCTTATCAAGGGCGGCCTTGGCCTTGGGATTAGCGGCACGTTCTTTTCGATCAACAGGCCGTGCGACACACGCGCTGTAAAAGAACACCGAAGAGTCTGGAGAGCGATGCGAATGAGGATCGGAACGAATAGACATCGCAGGTGCTGCATCGGTATCCAGACAGTCGTTGGAGGGCTCTACCGGTGCAGAAGTACCATCCCCGGTATCCTCATCCGTGAAATCAAGTTCAACTGCGGCTAGCACGGAAGTATAAAACTGAACCACTGCCACATCCTGTCCTGGTTCGACAATAAGATCGGTGTCGGTAGGATTAAGGACGTCGACCCCGGATTGGGTAGCCCCTTCGTTGTACGTATACATGGCCGGACAAATATCGAGGCCACTACCGCGTAGCGGCTGAAGGCGGGCCGACATGCCGCTTGGGGGATCGAATTCAAGGTCAGTAACAACACAGGCGCGAGATTTAGCAGGGACTACAACACGTCCCTTCGCACGTAAGGCGTGGCCATAATAGCCGTTCGCCGTTTGCACTCGGCGCTCTGTTCCGTCGTTATTCGGCAGACTGGTTCGAACCTTGATCTGTGTTTTGGCAGAAGAACCGATAACGAAAACGGTCTTTCCTGTCCATCGACATGGCAGAGATCGCACATCGGATGATCTCCATGAGTCCTGCAACGTAAATTCTGTGCCATCGGTCATGGCCATAGTCATCCTGACATCTGTCAAGGTCGCAGGATCGACAGGACAGTCCTTCACTGAGGTGGGATTAAAGCGCGCTCGGCGCTCGATCACATGAAATCGGGTGACCGTGCCAGCTGCGACATCGTGATACCAATAATCCTTATCATGCCGTTCAGCACCCGACTCATATTCGGAATCGAAAGCGATGTCGACAGGAGCGGCATCGCGAGAATCCTCTCGGGACATGGCGTGAGACTCAGCTTCTCGGCGCTCAGCCTCGACATATCCCTCCCGTTCGGCGCGATTCATGCTGCGCCAGGATTCGGAGTCGATAGAGTTCGGTTTTCGAGACCCTCGGTAGACACGCTCGGAGCGCGGCACACTCTGACGGTAAGGCAAACCCCCCTCGCCCTCCAGGATCTCCGACCCATGGTAAGGAGGTAACTTCTTCTTGGATGGGGCAAAGCCATCATCATAGAATTCGACAGTGCCTGTCCAGAGTTGCATCAGTCTCGTCTTGCCGAAGGCATAGCCGGTTTCATAGATCGTAACCGGACTTTTATCCTTATACTGAACATGCGAAATACGCACTGTGCTCAGCTTCCACGGATCAGGCGACTCGCCAAGAGATCCGGGAGTCTTACTGGGATGAATCATCGCCTTTCTCGGGACGACTACGTGATAAGTCCACTTATGACTCGATGGATCATATTCCTAGTCGACACCTCCTCCATGAGAAGATTCGGCTCGTAACTCGGCCTCACGAGCCCGCCGAACATCTTCTTCGGTCATTCGGGTCGGCTCGTCGAGGGCAAATATTTCATCGATATCTTCGAGTTCGAGCATATCAGAGGCGTCAAGGCGCTCACTAGATTGAGGCGCACAAGACTGCATCGCAGGGATCGTTGATGCACATTGATCGAGTCTGCTTGTCGTACACGGCGAGCATCGGGAACGTCCATCGCTCCTTGGGTGAGCAATATATCTTCTTGACCTGGTGGACGCTCGCACGCAACGCATCGCGTTTGAAATCTTCCAAATCGGCGACAATGTAGTCACCGTCCCACTTGCCCCCGTTCTCAAAATGATAACCCAGAAAAATACCAGGCTTACTCGTAGGGGAGAACTTACTGGGGCGTTGGTAAGACGACAAGCGTTGATCAACTTCGGCGCCCTGAAGAGTGCTAGATTGATCATTGTCTCCGTCATCAATCCACTCTAAATAACCATCGTCATCGAAACCAATTTCGACATCAATCAGTCCGTCGGCCCCAGGCGCAGGTACGGCGTACTCCTCACCATCGCCGAGGACAACTTCATCTCTCTGACTCCGCCGGGTCTGTTTTCGTGCCGGCGTAGGATAGAAGTCAACAAGGCAACCAAACGGCAGAATCTGACCGTCAAACTCAACACCATCAAATCGCATCGCATAGGCACTCTGACCCTCGCGCAATTCGATGTTACGAGCATGGCAGAAGTGCTTGCATGCGTAAGGCCAGAATTTGGCGCTCAATCCCGCTTGTCGTAGCGCCACACGTGCGCCATGAAGGACAAGCTTCACCTTGCTCTCGGCAATGGCATTAGTTCGAGGCATTCCCGGGGTGGAGTGCTTCACAGATATGCCGACTTTCTTGCAGGTCGATATGAACTCACGGGCTTTATCACAATAGATCTCCCGAATCGCAGAAGGTGCATACCTCCTCTCCACATCCATGGAGCACGAGTTCACGTCTCGAAGATCGCCAAAGACCTGCTGAAATGCTCGGAGCGTATCGGCATTCGTTCTTCCCTTAACGGGAACGCTCTCCAGCCACTCGGTTGCTAGATCGTAGAAGACGACAGCATCCGTCTCCCCATTATTCCCGCGATTGCCGAGCCCATGCAACACCATGGTATCGATGGTAACGTGTTCGCCAAACTTCTCAAACTCTTTATCGCGCGGTGAGTCTTGACGAAAGGATTTAACATTTTCCATCTTTGCACGTTGGCAGGCATCGCAGTAGGGGTTCTTTGGGAGATGAGTCATGAGATGACGGATTGACTTTGCCTCATCTTTCAGATCGCGCGCTCTAGGTTCATCAGGCGGCGACTGAGGCTTACCCTTGTCGGGCACCTTCTTGTTATCGTCAGGTGCACTCTTCTGAACGCTCTTGGCGTTGGGCATATCGAGATCAAGTTCTCCGACAGCGTCTAATTCGCTGCCAGGCTCCTCACCAGCTGCAACGACCTTTTCGTGGACGATAATCGGTGCTGGGAGGGCCGGATACACACGAGGGAGATCAGGTCGGCCGGCCACTACCTCTGTCTCACTTGGAGCAAGGTAGGGAATATTATTGATCACGTCGACCTTGAGGCGTTTCCCTTTCGGATCAAAGAATATCGGATCGCAAAAGGGCTCCCAAATGAATCGATAACCAAGCTCCTTACATCGTTTCCCAAGGGAAAGGAAATTTTTCGTGCTTTCCAACACATAAGCTTCAATCAGTTCATCAAGACCATCGATGCGCATATGCGCGACACCCTTGGTGTTGGTCTTCCCGTTAGCTGTCCGAAGACTGATCTTAGCATTCTGGACGATCAGATCCCTTTCCTCACGGGATAAATCACCGAGACCAATAAGGTCTATACCGCAACCGGAGTCAAGCATGAGTCTCCGTACCCTCTTATAATAGACTTGACAGCAGCAGCAAAGACTTCGCAAGCGCTCCGCTGAGAAAGCGTGAGCTCAAGAACACAAGCATCATTTCCTAACGTTTTGGCATCAATGTCATCGAGCAAAACCTGCTCTCGCCACAGCACGGCTTTCATATGGGCTCTTCGCCTCTCGCGAGCGCTATTCAGACCACGGATATTTTCCGGCCACGAATAGCTCAAATTCCTCTCGCGATTGACGGGGCCGAAGGCCGGCTCCGGGAAAGAAGACTCTATCACGCGGGTCTCAGTGTTCCCAAATGACACTGTCTTCCGCTTGACTGACGGACATGCCATATCGAATGATGCTGCACAAGCGAACGCAAAGTCTCCAAAGGAGGATGCTGTCATTGCCTGAGGGTTGCGGCACGCCCCTCTCAAAAATCCGAGGGCGTTGGCGCCGGGCTGTCAACCCGTCTTGATGTCGGCGCGGGCTCAGCAGGCGCAGGAGCGGCAACAGAAGTGCTCTCAGCAGGAGCACCAGGCTTCACATGCTTATACGGACACTTATCACCTCTTGTGCAAGATCCACGGGCATAGTAGAAGCATATGCCAGACTCCTTTGATATCGGTGACTGGGATCGAGGCGGGAAACCCTTTGGCGAGGAGCTTCTTCCCTTCAGGTTGTGGGAGAACTTGCATCCGCTACCTCGCGTGCATCTGCCTTTCTTGAAATCGTAGCAGATTTCCCGTCCTCGCGGGGATCGCGACATCGGGCGAGTCGGTGCGGGAGCTGCTCGTCCCGGACTGCGGGAATATCGCCTTGGCGATCCGCGTCGCGGGGAGGATCGTCTGGGTGACGAGCGCCTCGGCGAGCTCCTTCGGTACGGACTCCCTCTCCTGGAGTCACGACGCCCAGGCGATCTTGACCCTCTTTGACCTCGGGATGAAGATCTGCGCGGGCTGCCATGCGCAGGTGCAGCGTATCGTCTCTGCGCAGAAGTAGACCTTGTAGCGGTGTACATCTTTTCTTGATTGCGTCGTCGGCGCCAAGTTGTAATCGCATTGACGCAGACGGTTCGCAAGTATGCGTAGTTCCGTACGGATACGTCCCTGTCCCATAGCTGCATGTCGAGCTCGAGACAGCGGAACTCACGCACCTGCTCGTAAAAGAGGGCGCAGAGAACAGGATCTTCGGGGCGATCGACTGAGATACCAGCGAGAACATGATCCCACCGATTGGAGAAGGCTTCCAGCCTTTCCTGCTCGGATCCATGAGTAAACCGATCAATCGTGGTCTTCATCAGGTCAACGAGCTTGAAAGTCGAATCGCCGGTGACATGTGGTCGAAGGAAATCATACAATAGCCACAAGACCTGCCTACTTCCGAGTCGCCGGTTTATCGTATGCATGCGCTCGGTCTCGGTCTGGATCTTCAGTGCAATGGATCGGACGCACTCACGGAACGCAGAGTTGCATTCGTTTTCAAGCATTCCGTACTTGCACTCATCGAGGAGATCCTCATATCGTGTACCATCGGGAATCTCAACCCATGAGAGTGCGTATCCGGGATCGTAGGCAAATGCGTTCGCGACTCGCTCTTTCATATCGACTATCCAGCGTCGCAGCTGAGCAGGCTCCGGCTCGGGATCGAGACGAAAGGACTTGCACTTTGCCTTCACTTCTTGGCCTCGCTCAGCGATCCATCGCCCTTGGGTCCACCGAATCCCGGGTCGTTGGGACCAGGTGGATTCCCAGTTTGTCTCTCAAGACACACGAGACAGATTCTCAAAGGATCTCGGCAACATCCGTTGCAGCACGAGAATCGGCAAGATATGCACGACCGTCGCACGGTGGTCGGGAAAGTTCCGGTGCAGCGCTCGCACTGGAACGTATCGTTCCCACTCGGCCGACCGGAGGGCCTGATGCTAGGCGGATCAAGGCCGCCATGGGGCGGACCACTACTGTGAGGAGGGCCACCACCACCAGGCGGACCACCAGGTGTGCCGTCGGGTGGGCCACCACCGCCACCGGGGCCAAAACCGGACCCGTGGTGTCCATGTCCTCCGAAGCCACCGCCATATGCACCCCCGTTATCGTTGGGGCCATCACCACCCGAACAACCGCCGTCTCCGTTACGCGCGGGCGGCGGTCCGCAAACCCGGATGGCGCGGCACTGGGTGCAGGAACGGACGTTCTGGCACTGAAGGTAGGCATCGGGGGCATGGCATCGTTGGCTGCAGCATGCTGAAGCGTCGCAGTAACGCTCGTGTTCGGCGCAAGGGTAAAAGTACCGGTCGACTATGGAGAATTGGTGCGCCAGCACTGTTGCCAATGAGATTTGATCGGCCAAGCATCGCATCATACCATCGTGATGGTCCCTTCCCTGCCGGGACGGTTCGAGTATCATAGGAGATTTGGCATGGGAAGGTCGGGCTTGACCTGGGCTCAGGAGCGAAGCTTCGAGCTTCAGGGACATGTCGGATGTCAGCGCGAAGAGCATCATCGACTTGATATGGCCTGAGGCTCGGAGCCTGACCGGAAGTCGCTCCGGCGGCATTTGCGGAAGGAACGGCCTGATTCGGCGATCTTCCCGAAAAACACGCCGACGTTTGGCCAAAATTATGTCGGACGGGCTCAACAGGATTATTTTGCCCGCGACTTTCGGCAGGTTGTTCGTCAGCGACTCGTTGCTGCGCTCGCCTCAGAATTTCATCGAGATTGATTCCACTCGTCTGAGAGTGAACCGTTGAGGCCTTTTCAGCAGGCGCAGCGTTGCATCCCGGCGGAGAGCCGTGATCGATCGGACCCAACAGGGAAGACCTCGGAATGGCTGTAGTCGGTCCGCCAGGGAATAGAGCACCTGGAACTGGCGGCAGGTCCGCGGGGCGTGGAATATCCCCACCATGGTCACTGATATCGAAGAACTGCGTCCGTTCCGGACGCGAAGGCGTTGATCTATCAGAACCGCCTCTGCGGACATGAGCGTTTTCGAGGTGCTGGATCCGAGCAGTCAGCTGATCGATATGAGCTCGGTTACTCTCCTTATGATCGTAGAGAGCGCGACTCATCTCGGATCTGATGACTTCGATGCGGTGGGTAGCGTTCTGCTCCACCGCAGCAACGCGCGCTTCGGCATTAGAGATATTGATCTGAATCTGCCGCAGCGCGTCTGGGTACTGCTTGATGTGGCGGATCGTTTCGGCAAGCTGCATGGATAGCGACCCAGCACGCTTTTCGTTGAATTGATGGATCCGCTCATCGAACTCAATGAGTCGATCGTTGATCGTCGAAGTGAGCTTCGCAAAATGATCTTCAAGCGTTTCGTGATCAGAAATCCGCCTCTCGCGGAAAGAGTCCTGGAACTGCATGAACAGCTCACGCTCTTTCCTCAACTCGGCCTGAAGAAGCTCCCACATGTCTCGGATCTTGCTCTCGAGCGCTTCGGTGATATCCGAGACGCCGTTCCTCAGTATATCGAGGTCGGCTTGGGTGTTGGTCACACCCTGCGCGATCGCCAGAATATCGGTGGCGATGTGCGCGGATGCTTCTGACCCAATGGCTTCATCGACCAGGGCCCTGACAGCACAGGGTCCGGTATGCCACCCGCCGTTATCGATGGCGGGGGCGGCACCACCATGACCCGCCGCGGTAATCGTTGCGACGGAATCATGGGGTGCACCCGGATGCTCGCTCATGGGCTCGTCGGGGAGCGAGGCTCCACCGCGGCCAGCCACCGGCCCGTAGGAATCGGGGCGCGGTGGGCGGAAGGACGCCGGGTCCGAAATCGGTGGACCACGGCCGTCCGGCCCGGACCCAAAGAGGGCCCGAGCGCCCTCTGGATCCCCGCGAAGGGACAGAGGACAAGCTGAAAGATCGGTCGGAAGAAGGGTAGGTGCGGAAGCAGCAGGAGCAGCGGACGCAGAAAAGGCAGGCAACAAAGGCAAAGCACGAGCGGTGGCAGAAGCAGGCAGCATGCCGGCGGGCATCGTGCCAGGCGTTGCGAAAGCAGCAGCAGAGCATGGCAAAGGCGGCGCATGGTGCTGAGCTCTCTGATCGTCCTCAGCAGGCGGCGAAGCAAGCAGCGAAGCAGAGCGAGCGAGCGAAGCGTGCGAGGCGGGCGCAGTGCAGCGAGATGCGTGGGCACTATCATCGGGCTCCACGACATCCCGAGCAACTGGCGTCACTAGTGAAGAACCGACAGTCGAGGGGACACGGGGAGAACCGATCGGAGTCGCCATTCTCTCGGTGGCGGGGGCAATCACAAGTTCCGAACTTGGTCTGAGCCAGGAAAACGGTAGTGATCGGACGCTGATTGGATCAGGCGGTCCGAGTGCCAAGCAGCAGCAGCGAAGCAGCAATCCACAATCGGATGCGGAGGCCTTACGGCTGATAACCTGTGAAAAGCGGAGGATTCCACTCAACTCTCGGTCACAAAGCCCAAGACAGCCGATCGCAGATCAAAGCAAAGCAAGCGGTGCAAAGCAGGACAATCAGAGATTAAAACCGTAAAGGTTGACGCTCAGGTAACAGGCAAGTCCCACAACCCCCAGGTCGTAAGCGGCCTTTTCCTGGGACTCGCAACAGCGGTCCTTGAGCAGTCAAGCTGCGTAGTGAGACAAAGTTGGTCTGATTCCTAACCAGAAGGCAGAAGCACATGTACGCACGTCAGTGACAAATCACACCAACGAAACACACGCACACCCCTTCCCATATCCCAAGCCGGTTTGCTGAAACTATAAGTCTCAAACGTCGAGGCAAGATACTTACTCAGAACATTACGACTTGCATGCCATTGAGGCAACGTGAGAAGTGCAGCCCTGAACGTCCTTAAACAATAATTCGCCTTGTTTGCTTTGGCTGCATACCTCTGAAACGAAACTTCAAACTCTAACCTCTCTACGCAGCAAACCACTAAGTCATGACAGCCCTAAGTACCATGCGACAGAAGAGTTCTAGATTCTAACCTCTGGTAAACCGTTTCAAAGAACCGTCATAAAGAAGCAAAGCCCCACGGACCCTAAACCCAAACCTTAAACGTCCGTCCTGTGGCCTTGCGCACACGACACTGCTCAAACAATGGCCCGGATAGGACGTCCGGCGATTCCTGCGGGATGCTTTTCAGAGTGTTGCTTGTGATTTTCGAAAGGGTTTTGGAGGTTCCCGGGCCTTGAGTTGGGCTCCGTGTTGGAGTTCTGGGGTTAGGGCTTACCGCATTTGGGGGATTTTGGGGGGGTTTATAACGGTCTTGGGGTTCATTCTCTTTCAGGGCTCAGTAAATATTCCAGGAACCATAAACCGCAAGGAAGACTCCAGCTCAACATGCATGCCCCAAGGGTCCATAGATTCATATAGTGATCACCCCCTTCAAGGCTGGAATTAAACACCATGTTGCTGCTACACACATTGTGGATTTGGGGCTCGGAGGTCGGCGAAGAGACAATCCCAAAAGTGTGAGAACCTTCTGGCGGCCTGGCAAGATGTTCGGTGCAGGAAGCCTTAGTGGACCCTCCACAGTCTTGCTTACACGCTATGCAGGACCCTGCACCTAAACTCCACACGACACACCCAAACCTCAGGCAATCCTGAAGCCGAAGAAACCCTATAAGCCCTAAGCCTGCCTTGGGATCCAAGGCCGGGGGCCTGGATTCGCATGGCTTAGGGTTTATAGGGACTTTTTTCGGGGTGGGAAGGTCCTTGGTTTTCAAATTGAAGCTTGCCTAGACTCGTAGTCCCTTCTTTTTGGAGGTAAACGCTTTGATGGTCAGGATCCTGTAGCCACTCTACGCAGAAACAGCTTCTCCAATGAGGGAACTGTGCCTTCCTGGTAGGGTTGCGACGTTAAGATGTTGACTCGAGCTTCATTGGGTTAAAAAAGTCAATCGGTGTCACTGCTACATAATATGATTCTGAATACATGGACTTGGAATAGAGACCCCCGATTTGAAGAAGGCCACACAACGCTCACAACGACGGCTTCTACGCGTTGTGCTTGGTAGTTCTGGGATTGAGGGATTTACAGGTATGGTGATGCAAGCACTGCAACAACACGGAGCTCAGCATGTTGCTTGCCTTACACATGCCATCATCTAGAACCTGATGGGAATCTAGCCCCATGCCCTGAAGCCTGAAACCGTGAAGCGGACAGCACCTGACTCCGAGCATCGACCTTACGAGAGGCGACAACGGACCGCGCAACCCAAAAGTCAAAACGCCATGACAAGGACGTGTGAGCAGCAAGGGAACCCAGGTCTCTTCTGGCTGGGCTCAAAACTTAACCTTAGCGCCCGCAGGAGACTTCTTGAGGGCGCAAGGCATCTGCCTCTATGTTGCGGCTTAGGCTTAGGCTCTTTGTTTCAGCTACGGCTAAAATATCTCAGCCCGGGCGCAGAAGTATGTCTGGTTGCACAGCATCGAGTGCTGGCTTTCGCACCTGCGTGGAAACTTGTGAATATTGTATCGAGACTGTCAGTCAGGTGGCGATGGACAGCGGAACCCAGTGATCTTGACAGTAAACGGCGGTCTTTCTCGCACCATCACCGGCATCATAAGCACCAACCAGAGGACACACAATACCGTGAACAATCTTCACGACAAATGCATATGTTGTCACGCAAGAAATGCTGGGTCGCTGGTTTGTCATATGCTCGCGGAAGAGGAAACCGGCTCGGCTCCCTCACTCACAAGAGGTCGTGATACATTGGATCCAGCGTTGTTTCGGGTTGGATCATGGCTTAGAGCTCACGGTGCTGGATCTCCCGTGCGTTTACCGCTTGGGGCTTTCGGTTTGGGGTCTCGGGTGAGCTGGGTAATGGCGATCTTGGCCGGGCTGTCCAACGTCCCCAAACCCCTAGTCTGTAACAAAACCTATAGTGAAACTTTCGAGCAGAAAATGATGTAAATAGCCGTCAGCCCCCACAACGCCAAGTCGTAGGATACTTACCCAATAGACCGGCGAAGTCAAAAAAGCAGGAAATAGTCAATAGTAAAAATTTTGACTTCGGTTCATTTTGACTTTGACTTCGAAGTTAAAACCGGGCGTAGAAAATAGTTATAATTGCGTGGCGTCAAAGTGACTTCGCGAAGGCAAAATTTTGACTGTGAAGTAAGCTCGGTGCAAAACTGCTAGAGGAAGTTTGGTGGAAGTTTCCTCTAAACTGCTTCTGAAACTGCTTCCAAACTGCTTCACCCTGAGTGGCAGTTTCAAGGGGCCGAAATCAAAACTTCCACTAAACTGCTCTTCATGTTTTTGCATTATTTCCGGCAACGAATATGGGTACTTACATGCAAAAAACAATTCAAGTGTACATGGCAGACCGACACATATACGAACCCACCTGCACACATCTTCCGCAACACACACACAAACAACAAACCTATATATATATATATATATATATATATACTTATGCACACAATCACACACAACAATGCACTTTCAAAGAGCAAAATCTCTGTAGCAGTATCGGCCGGCCACAGAAGCAGTTTGGAAGCAGTTTCAGTAGCAGTTTCCCCTTCCCGAGTTTACTTCGAAGTCAAAATTTTGACTTCGAAGTAAACTCTGTTTTGACTTTGCGGGGGCGGCGTTTTAACTTCAAAGTAAACGCAAAAAAATTAACTATTGACTTCGAAGCTAACTAACATAGTCAATTCGTGTTTTGACTTGTTTATAAAATAAGCTCTTTTTCTATGAAAAAGGGATTCGCTACTTTTCTGACTTCGCCGGTCTATTGGGTAGTGAGACAGAACAGATACAGTATGTGCGTAAAACAATTCCGCATAAGTGTGCGTACGCATATATACGTAGACACATATGTATGGTTGTAGATATGCGTATTTACATACAAAAAGATAATCATTAAACATATATATAGACATATATGTACAGGCGTGTGAATCAAATAAACGCATACATAGATACATACATACGTACATACATACACGCCTGCACATACACACATACATACATACATACATACATACATACATACATAGATGCGCGTATGCGCATCCATATACACATGTACACATACACATACACTTTAGACACAAGCAATTGCACACAGACATACACAGACATATTCATATTCACATCGACAGCATCTTCATACTCATGTTTGTATCCAATTTCATATGCATACACATACACACAGACATACACACACGGGCACTGGAACATTCACGTTCATGCTCACAGTCATCTTGATATCCGTATCCGTATTCATAACACATGCATATGCATACACATAGTCGTACATACATACATGCATGCATGCATACGTGCATGCATGCAGACAGAGACGGACAGACAGACGGACGGACAGATAGATATGTGCATGCGTGTGCTTCTTTATTCACATCCACCCTATATACCAATTCAGTTTACTTCTTGCAACATCACGATACCCACCTGCAGCAGTGCAGATGCTTTCTTTGCAGCTTCGCCTCCCGGCACGTGTGAGATCAGCGTTTCGAGCTCCAGGGTTTATAGGGTTGCGTCGGAAAAGGGTGAAGGGTTTATGGTTGTCCAGGTTCAGGAGTGTTCGATCAAAGATTGTGGGACATCGGACCTGCCTTCACCTAGCATTCCTCCGAGTACAGCCCTTAATACTTAGAAGAGGTATTGGAGGTACGTCATACGAGAATCACAAACAAGAGCCCCACGCGCTACTGTTGCTCATTATCCAGGTACACGTATTGCATTATCTTATGTCCCCAGCACATACAACAGCCAAGAAATGTAACGAGCGCAAGAACAGCACAACTACCCGCGGATGTCGGGCACTGCTCCGGCAAACAGTCTGTACCGTATGTCCACAGGAATCCTGCAGGAAAAATGTATGCTGTTGTCATAGGTCAAACGTGGTCGTCACTTTCTGAAAGATGAACCGCCAATTCCCTCTACGCCAAGAGGCCTGACAGATTGAGTGACACTGAGTCTGCGTGCCCGTTTGTCAATATACAGCCCTGATCAGCTTCTACCATTGTTTGTTCCCAAGCCCGTGTCCATCTTAATTAGCTTGCATCATGAGCTGAGACAGCCTATACTTTGGCATTCATTATGTGACTACATGTGAACCTCTTTGACGCCGAAAGTATCTGCTGTGGTCATGCATGGGAGTTGAAGGTGTGTTCGGCGGTGCATTGCCCGGGTGGACATGTACTATCAGCCGTTAATCCTGTCGAAGCTTTCGGCACGAGGCACCTAACTCAAAACTTGCTCAAAAACCATGTCGTTCTG